CCCATACTGTGCCAAACCCTCTTGGTGTGAGCTCCCCACCAGAGCCCTGCTGCTTCCCCAGCCATGGGCATCCCTCTGCCCCGTCCCCTGCCCTGGGACAGCCCTGCCTCGCTGACCACCTGCCTTCCCCCTGCAGCCACCCCGTGGAGGGCCCCCAATAAGATCGACCTCTACGATGTGCGCCGGCGGCCCTGGTAAGGGGGTGCCGGGTGGGGAGGGGGGTACCTTTGCTGGCCTTTCCCGGCTGGGAGCAGCCAGCTCCCTCCCCGTTTCATTTCATACATGGTTGTCATTGGCAAACAGACGCCATAACACGGGCAGGGGCATCCGAGCTGCAGCTCTCAGCTCCCACTCCCCTCCCCTCTTCCCAGGAAGGCAGAGTGGGATGGAGCGATAAATCCTTGGACACAGATCAAGCGTGGAGAGCTGCCCCTCACCCTGCTCTCGCCTGCAGCTGCGGCTGCCAGCGCTCAGTCCCGGCCAGCATTCCCATCCAAATGGGAGAACAACCAGCTCTCGGAAACCATGAGCCGGGTGGATGGAAGCGAGAGACAGGCAGGCAGCGCCAGGCTGTGGTTAAGCAATAGCTGTGAGCAGCCATTTAGCCACAAGCCGAGTGAGGTAGGGTTGAGTCGCTTCCCCATAGCCCAGGTAGAGGTGCCAGCGTGGCAGTGCTAATTATCTGGCTGCCCACCAGGCTGGGGGAGCTGCGTCCCCGTCCTGCCCACAGTTGCTGCCTAAAAAAGCGGGCATGGAGAGGAAAGCAGGCACAGGTCTGCGGGAGGTGCCTGGGGAGCCCTGTATCCCAGGGAGCACCCCCTGCCTGTCCCCCTGCCTGCACCAGGAGCTGCCCCCTCTCCTTGTCAGAAAATTAATGGCCCTGCCACTATGGTTAATTGTCTTTGATTGCTCCACATTAATTATTAACTGTTCGCCGCTGGGGCATCCATGCAGGTTATTGGCAGAAGGACTGGCAGGCTGTTTGGGGGGGGGGGGGCTGCTGTACAGGGGCTACCAAGCCTGGCTGCCTGCCCACTAGCCGGGCTGGCCATGCACTCACCCACCCAGCCATGGAGGAGCAGCAGCACCCTTTGTGCTGGGGGGGCAGCACACCCCTGGGAGCACCCCTTTGGGGTCCTCTCCTGCCCTCAGCCGGGGTCTGGTGCAGCACACAGCCCTCACTGCTCAGCTGCCGGGCCTGGCAGGGGCCACGGTTCTGCCCGCAGCCGCCCCCCCGGCCGGCAGGAACCCCACGGGCAGCTGCCTGCCCCTCCTGCACCCCAGCACCATGGGGGGTGCTGGGGGGACACAGCATCCGCGCCAGGAGGGCCCCACCTGCCAGCATCCCCCATCCCACACCCTGCCCTGGTAATCACTTGTAATTAGGGAACATCAGGACCTGGGATTAGCAATCAGAGCCTGCCCCTTCCCCAGTCCTCCCCAGTAATGGTGGGTAATTGATACTAATAACACACTAACTAATTTGTGTCAGGCCTGATCCTGATCGAGCCAGTAACAAGGCTCCCTTGGACTTCATCCGTGGCAGGATCAGGCCCCACGAGATGTGACGGGGAGGCTGGGCTGGGCCTGGGCCATGGCTGGGATGGGTGCTGGGCACCCTGCTGGCCCCCTCCCACACAGCATGGCACAGCAGGGCTGAGAGCAGGACTGGCTGCTTCAAGGGGTGAGGAAGGGTTCCCTAATTGTTTTCAAGGGGGAGGATTTACGTAGTAATATTATTTTTCCTCCTTGTAGCTAAAAATAACCTAATCAGCCTGGCCTTTGAAGCTACCGGGGGGTAAATAGCATCTTAATATGGATGTGTGTGTCAGCATAATCAGTGCGCAGAAAAGGGCCTGCAATGATGGAAGAGTTTAGCATTTAGAGCTCATTAGACTGATACGGTACCGAGCGGCGGGTCGCTGGCAGTCTGCCGTGCCATGCCGCGCCGCGCCACATCCCCACCTCCACTCACCTGCTGCCACCTTGTCCCTGCTCCTCGCCACGGGGTCACCGCAGCCATGGGTGCATGGGCACTCTCAGCACGGCTGCCTGTGCCCTGGCAGAGCAAACTTGGGCTGCACCCAGCAGGGAGTTGACCTTGCTGACCCCCCTCTGCGCCCTGCAGGTACATCCAAGGTGCCTCCTCCCCAAAGGACATGGTCATCATCGTGGACGTGTGAGTACACGGGTGGGGGCTGTGGCTGGGCTGAGCCAGGCCAAGATGGTGGGACAGCGTGCCAGGGTGCCACTGTTCTGTTGGTGGCCCCAGGGAAGCTGTGTGGGACAGCGCTGGCAGGGAGCCGGGTGACCCCTCGCTGCTGAGCCCCAGCACCCCTCTCTCCTGCCAGGAGCGGTAGTGTGAGCGGCCTCACCCTCAAGCTGATGAAGACCTCAGTCTATGAGATGCTGGACACCCTCTCGGATGATGACTATGTCAACGTGGCCTCGGTGAGTGCCACGGGGCAGGCGGCAGGGCTGTGCCCCCCAGGCAGCTCCCAGCTCCCCACCGCAGGACCCCTTTGCCCCCAGATCCACCTGCCCAGGGGCTCTGCAGAGAGAGAAATGCCTTTTTTTTTTTTCTTCTTAACCACCCACCTGCACATAAGAAAGGAAATGGCTGCTCGGGGCTCAGCTGCATGTGGTGGTGAACGAAAGCTGCCCCCATCATGGGGCGCTCGGCAGAGATGCTCCTGGGGTGATCCCAACCAGCCACCTCCTCTCTGCCACCAGCCAGTGACATCATGCCCCCCCCATGGCGATGTCACCAGCCCATGCCCTCACACAGCACAGCAGCCATGCCACCACATCTGTGCATTGCTGGGCACCCAGCCCATGCCGGCCCTCCCCTGTCTGGCCACAAGCACACTGGCGCTAATTAACGTGTCTGGCCGAGCTCCGTTAGCTGGATCGCTGCTCCCCTAATGAATGGGCCCTATTGCCAGAAAATGAAGCCATAAGTGAGAGGCAGCACCTGCTCCCCCTGCCGGTACGGCACGGCACGCCTGCTTGCACGAGCCTGCGGGGTCCTGAAGAAGCAAGGGTGCAGGCGAGCCCTGCGCTGGCAGCACCCACTACTGATACCCACACCAGGCGTCTCGGTGCTGGATTTGGCCCGAGCTAAGCCCCAGTCTCAGCATTGGCCATTCCCAGGACATGGGACACAGGATGCTCTGGCTGTCTCATGGCAGCTGTGTGTGGTGTGTGGTTTGTGCCCACTGGGGGCTGCCTTTGGGTCCCCAACTCCTTTCTGCAACCCGCTCCCCTCCCTTTTACCTCCCAGTTCAACGAGAAGGCAAAGCCGGTGTCATGCTTCAAGCACCTGGTGCAGGCCAACATCCGGAACAAGAAGGTGTTCAAGGAGGACGTGCAGGGGATGGTGGCGAAGGGCACAACCGACTACAAGGCTGGCTTTGAGTATGCCTTCGACCAGCTGCAGAATGTGAGCTGGGGGCCGGGCTGCAGGCTGGGGGCGGGCAGAGTGCACCCATGGGTGCTGAGGGTGATGGAGGGAGATCTCCGAGCACCTGGCTGCTGCCTGGGGCTTTGGCATGCAGTGGGCTCCTTGTCCTCCTTTGCAATGCTGGGGGGACATCGTACCCCCCAGCACGCTGTAGCTGAGGTTTTGCTGGAGCCACTGCCCTTCTGGGTTATTAAAAGTTAGCAAGGCTGGGCAGAGGGGGCTGGATCCAGCCAGACACCATACCAGAGGCAAAATAAAGATAAATGGTGCTATTAGGTGCTGAGTAGCAATAGCCACAACATAATTTCCAAGAAGACCGTGTCTCTCCTCCTGCCTGTTCACCCCGGCCACCCTCACCCCAGAAAAACAGGCTGGGGAAAGAGATGGGTGGGGGCCAGCCCTCCTGGCCACATCCAGCCCAGTGCCGCTGGCTCTGGGTCCCACCTCAGGCGCCATCTCTCTGCCCCACAGTCCAACATCACACGTGCCAACTGCAACAAGATGATCATGATGTTCACAGACGGCGGTGAGGACCGGGTGCAGGACGTCTTTGAGAAGTACAACTGGCCCAATAAGACGGTGAGGGGCTGTGGGGCCAGGCTGGGGCCGCTCGCCAGGGGAGAGGTGGCTGCTGCAGCTCCTTTGTCAGCTTCCACTTCATTTGCCACTAGCAATGTCACCATCCTCTCTCCCCGACAACCTGCTCCTGCGCCGAGACGCTGCCCTGGTAATAAGATGGTGACATGCTGGTGCCATTTATAGCCAGCTCCCACCTTGGCATGTGGGAGGCACAAGGCCAGGCACCCCACGGGCTGCCAGGGTAGATGGGGCTGGTGAGCCCCCCCAAGAGCCTGCCCTTGCGGGGGAGCACATGCCAGGCATGGGCGACAGGGCTGCTCACAGATAGGAGGGTCCCTGTTGCCACTCAGCTCCCCGGGACCTGGAAACCCATGAGGTTGGGGGGAACCTTGGACCATGCAGGACCCTCGGAGCGCACATACCCCTCCCTGTGCAGCGATGCTGCATCACAAGGACCTCTGGTCCTACAGGGTAGGTGGCTTTGGCCGATGGGGGACAGGACTGACTGGGTCCAGGCAGGGAGAGAGGGGGTCCCTGCCTGCCTGCCAGCATTTGCAGAAGCCTTCTGCCTTCCTGCATTTGGCCATGGGCAGCATGGTCTGCATGGCAGAGGGCAATGCCACACTGTCCCCAGGGAGGTTGCCATCAGCTGGGAGCATCCCAGTGTGGAATACTGGGGTGCCCGGCGGATGATCCTCACTGCTGTGCTCTGCCACAGGTGCGGGTCTTCACCTTCTCCGTCGGGCAGCACAACTACGACGTGACCCCGCTGCAGTGGATGGCCTGTGCCAACAAAGGTGAGCGGGGCTGGCACCCAGGAGGCTGCGGGGTACTGGGCTCGCCCTCGTGCCAGGGCTGGCACCAGTGCTCCAGTGCATGGTGCTGCAGGCAAGGTGCTGGCTGCATCCCTGGAGGGCTGGACAGCAGGACAGCCAGGCTACCGGACAGGCAGACGGCCAGCTCTCCAGCTGCCTTTCTCTTTCTTTTCCAAGGTTACTACTTTGAAATCCCCTCCATCGGCGCCATCCGCATCAACACGCAGGTACAGTGGGGTGCTGGCAGGCAGGGTGCCGGCAGGCAGGCAGTGCCACAGGCAGTGCTGCCCTCCCAGGGGTGCCCTGCCTGGGAGCAGGCTCAGGCAGCCCCAGCCCCACTGCAGAGAGCCCAAAGGCTCGCAGCCAGTGTGGCAGCCAGCTGGGGAGCCGAGCCAAGCCCTCAGCCAGGCCTCGTGCTGTTGAAATAAGTAATTCATCTTCTGCAGCTCCCCACAGACCTGCTGCCTTTTGAGTGACTAATTATGAAACATCAGGCATTAATCAGCGCAGAGCAGAGCCGAGCGCGGGCAGGGAGCGAGCACGGGCAGGGCCAGCCCCAGCAGAGCCAGGCGTGTCTGCCGCACACCCCGTCCCCCTGCCCCTTTCCTGCCCCTTTTTATCAATGCACACAAGGTGCCATGGGGGTGTCCCCAAGCGGGGCAGCCCCTCAGTGAGGGGCTGGCATCATGGCACAGGGGCTGCTCCCCCACCCAGAGGTCTGCTTTGGCAAGGTGACCCAGGATAAGGGAAACCTGTCCCAGGAAAAGATCTCAAGAGAGGAGGCAGTGGTAGCCAGGAAGGCAGCAGCGATGTGGTCCGGGCATGACAGAGCAAGCCCAGCCCCAGGAGTGGCTGGGAGCCAGGGGGGCTCTGGCTAGCACTACTTGGGGAGACCTTGCCCTGCCTATGCACATGCTGATGGCAGGCAGAGCCTTGTTTGCATCTTGACAGGCCTGTTTGGTCCCCAGCTGGAGCCATTACCCTGGGGTTTGGTAGCTGCCAAGCCCCCTCCCCTAGCTCAGCCTGCCACTGGGGGCCAGCACCACGCACCCTATTAATAATCCCTTGGGCATGCGTAGGAACAGGGGTGTCACTGAGCTGGAGCAGGGAGGCATATGACTCCCATGTCTTGCGTTCCCCTGCCCTGTCTCCCTGGCAGGAGTACCTGGACGTGCTGGGCAGACCCATGGTCCTGGCTGGGAACCGAGCCAAGCAGGTTCAGTGGACCAACGTCTACCAGGATGCCCTGGTAAGCACCCCCAGCCCTGGGATGTGGGTGGGGACACTGGCCCCAGGGTCCTGCACAGCACATGCCCCCATCTCCCTTGCCAGGGGGTTAACCCCCTCTGCTGCCCACCCCCAGTGCTGGGACCTGGGGCTGGCAAGGGGCTGTGGGAGACCCTTCTGTGCTTGTGCAGGGACTGGGCCTGGTGGTGACAGGCACGCTGCCGGTGTTCAACCTGACGGAGGACAGCAGTGACAGGAAGGTAGGAGACTGTGGCTGCCACAGCCCTGGCTGCACCAGGAGTCCCAGGTGTGGGATCACAGTGGGGTGGGGAGGGTGCCCCGATGCTGGGGGCATGGCTGCAGCGGAGGGGGACACTGGTACCCCTGGGGTGGAGGTCCATCCCCCTGTTTCTCCATCCCTGTGCTGGTGGCAGCAGGCGACAGCCCTGCTCCCACCCACCTCCCTCCCTGCACTTTTTTCCAGAACCAGCTCATCCTGGGCGTGATGGGGATCGACGTCGCTCTCAATGACATCAAGAGGCTGACGCCACGATACAACGTGCGTGGGGGCCCCTTCCCCTCCATCCCTGCCCTGCGCTGCTGGAGCCTGGCGTGGGAACCTGCTGTGGGGAGCCCTGAGCTGCCTCCCCCCCCCCCAGCACCCTATAGCACCTCCAGCAGCACTGGCAGTCGCAGGGCACAGAAGCCATGATTGCAGGGAGGGACCAGGGCAGGCAGGAGGGCAGGGATCAGAGCCGGGTGATGCTCTGGGACCCAGAGCAGAGCTGAAACCCTTGCAGGGTCAGCAGGGGATAAACCTTACCAGCCTGCGGAAAGGGGTAGCAGGCAAAATCCAGAGCTGAGGTGAGAGATGCTGTTGGCCTGAGAATAGAAATAGATGGATCAAAAAGGCTGAGCCCCAGGGGTGGCGTGGGGCAAGCTCTGCCTGCAGAGGTGAGGGTGATGGCACTGGTATGGCACGACATGCCGCAGAGCTGCCTGGCCAGCCTCATCCCTCCTCCTGTCCTCCTGCAGCTGGGGGCGAACGGTTACATCTTCGCCATCGACCTGAACGGCTACGTCCTGCTGCACCCCAACCTGCAGCCCCAGGTGAGGAGGGGCCCGTTGGGGTGGCAGCAGCGGGGGTTAGCCAGGCCCATGGGACACACAGCTTCCCAGGGTCATTAGGAGCTAATTGCGGGAATTGTGATGTTTGTCTGGACTCAGCGGCAGTTGCGGGAGCCCTGAGCCCTTCCCTGGCTCTCCCTTTCTGCCTGCAGATCATCAATTTCCGTGAGCCGGTGACGCTGGACTTCCTGGATGCTGAGCTGGAAGATGAGAACAAGGAGGAGGTGGGCAGACTCAGAGGCAGCTTTTGGGGTACAGGCTGCACCTGCCCCCTTTCTGCAGTTGCAAAGGGCACTTAGCCCCTCCAGCCTGCCCTGGGAAGTGCCTCATCCTAAGGGCCCCGGCACAGCTCCCATGGGGCCATGGAGGGGACAGGAGCTGGGTCACAGGCCCCTGGGTGCCAGCATGAAGAGTCCCCACCAGGCTTCTCACCCTTTGCCCCTGCACCCTGTGGGTCCCCAGTGTCACCCCGCTGGGGTGGGTGTCCACAGGGATGTGGCTGGGCTCTGTGGCCCTCAGTCGCCTCCTCCATGTCCCCCAGATCCGGAGAAGCATGATTGATGGTAACGACGGGCAGAGGTTCATCAAGACCCTCATCAAGTCCCTGGATGAGGTAACACTGCAGGGGAAGGGGGTCACGGCCAAAAGTACTGCCATGCTGAGCACCCTACCCCAGTGGCAGGGGGTGAGGGGCTGTGTCCAGCAACGGGCTTGGAGCTGGGGTCCCGTGTCACCGTGCTGGCAGGGTCCTGGCACCGCAGAGGCCTGACTGGCTCCCTCTGACCCGCAGCAATACATCGACGAGGTGTTCAGGACCTACACGTGGGCCCCCATCAAAAGCACCAACTATAGGTGAGTAGCACTGCCGGTGCTCGCCTGGCATCATCCAGACCCGCACCAGTACAGGGCTGCAGTCCTGTGCCTGCAGCTCGGGAGGTCCTCAAGGTCACCAGGAACATGTCCCGTGGGCTGTGGGTTGCAAACGTGCCGTCATGTCATTGCATGTAGCCAGTGATGCTCTAGAGGGGACTCCCAAAAGTGCTGCCCACCAGTATTCAGCACTGCTGAGCTGGGCTGCGGTCCCCAGGGCTCAGCACAGGCGCTGCAGGGCTGGCATACAAGGTACCGGACAAGGGACACCCCTGCCACCACCTGCCTGCACGGCCAGGGGCTTGTGCAGGTCTCTGCCTGCTCTGGGGTGGGTGACAGGGATGTACACCCACCCTGCAACACAGGCCGCAGCTTCAGAGGCAGAGGAGAGCAAAGCTCCCCTCTGCATTTTATCACCCAGCTTGGACTAACAGATGTGTAAAAAAAGACCCCAGCATCACCATGTCTGTGCTGTCCAACTTGTGCTGCCTTCGCCTTGTGAGGAGCCATGTGGTCCCCCTGCTGCCCAGTGTACCCTCCTCTTCCTCGCCACCCAGCTCAGGAGGGGCTGGCAAAGGGTCACAGCCACCTCCCAGCACTGCCATGTGTCCCCCACGCAGCCCCAGCCCTGTCCCCCATGGTGGCACCCCTCCAGAGCCCAGCAGCGCTGTCAAGGAGGGGACAATGACATGGGGTGACATGGCTGGGGCAGGGGCCATGGGTTGGTCTGTAGGGAGAAAGGTGCTGCCAGGGCCTCTGCGCTCCCGCGGCTCTGCACTGCGGCAGGGATGCTCCCCAGGGTTCCCGTCAGCACAGGGTGCCACCAGCACTGAAAGAAAAAAGTCACCACCCTCCTCTTGCCACCTGTGGTTTGGGGTGCCACCACCTCTGCCATGCTTTTTTGAGTTCCACCACCTTTGCCATGCTTGCTGGGGGGCCTGGTCCGTGCTTCTGGGTGCAGACAGGACTAGCTGAAGGGGAGCAAATCCAGGTCCCGGTGGCTCGGGTGCAGGTGTGACTTCTGATGAGATTCAGGGATGTGGCCCTCCCCTGCCAGTGCTCACTTATCCCGGGCAGCACCTGGCACAGACACCATCACTGAGGGCCACCGTCCACTGCAGCCAGCACCCAGGAGCCCAGCTCCTCCGACAGCGTCTCCC